TATGAATGTATGACAATACAAGGTGTTTGTCAGATATTCTCTTTCCTTGTCTAAGGTCAGATAAGTCCCTTCAAATTTGGTGTTTTGTTTATATCATTCGAAATCATACACTTATAAGAATTTAATCAAAACAAATTTGAGGATTAACAAAATGTTTTTTTTTAATCTGGAAAATCGTAGCCTAGTCAAGTATTCTATTTATTATTAAGTTTTAAGTCAATTCCATTGTAGTGTTTTGTTAGGTATATCAAATCGCCAAAAAAGGTCGAAATATATTGCTTCTTATGAAATCTCTCAAGTATATTGATACTACATAGTTTCATACATTGATACTACATATATTGTAGTATTTTTACATACATTGATACTACAAAATATTAAACTCTCAATATTAAACCCTTATAATAAATGCCATATTTTATACCCAAGAATCTAAATATTAAATAAAATACCGTTTGTTCCATAAGAAGAAATATAACTTTATTATGAATCTTCAAAAAATATAACTTTAGTATGGAAGTTCTGACACACCCTGTACATTTGAAAATAATTTTAAATTATGCACATTGCCTCTTTACAAATACCCATAAATAAGTTTGTTTCTATATCTTTCCGTTTTCGTATAATCAACCGAGGCGAATGAGGTGCGCCACCCTGTATAGTTCACTCATAGTTTTGTCATAATATTTAAGAATTTTAGTTTTTTGCTAGTGCAGTTATTGAGACTCTAAAACACTCAGGTACGAGGTTTGTGTGATGTAACGCTGTTTCGGGTAGTGAAACAGCGTTGTGTTGTGTTATGACAATTTCAAATGTTAATAAAATAGCCGAAAAAATAGTAACGCGTAAAGGAGAGCGTAATTAGGACAATGTTAGGTGCAATAACATTAAATAACCCAACTTTCCTGAATATTCAACCCTCTCGAAACTATTTTATAGCTTCATAGTTTCTCACACCGATTTGATCAATAGCAAAAATGGATTCAAGCAGTTCGACGAAACAAGTGAGAAACAAAGTGCTCGTTACATAATCAAAAAATTAAATAGACATACTATGAGAGGATAAAATATAATTTGCAATATTAATGGTATACTATTTTAATCAACTAGTGATTACATGTTTTATGAACATCTTCTAAAGTTATAATTATGTACCTTTAAAAAATTTCGTTATAGCCGAAATAGCCCCAATTATACCCACCCCACTAGCAAAACCGGTGATTAAAACTATGCTCGCTATCGTAGTTGAACTCATCTAAAAAAGTTTTAACTGGAATATTAAATTCAGTGGCGTAGCTAGGTAACCAAGGGCCCTGGGGCAAATTAAAAAATGGGGCCCCACCGCTATGTAAACTGATTAGGTTTTATCAAATATAAATATGAAATATACAAATACTTTAAGAATTGCTAAGCTACTTAAGCCCTTTTTTGTGCACTGCAGGGCAGGTAATAAAAATATTAAGGGTTTATTATATAAAGGTCGGGCCTAACCATCTGACTAAATAACAATTATATTTATATTTTTTTCCTAGCATTAGTTTTCGTAAAAGTATCAATGATTTCGTTTAAATCCAGGCTTGATGCGGTTTTGTCTTCAATTGCTATTAGCGATAAATGTCGGAGTCGAGTTTGGCCCATATTATTTCTTAAATAATTTTTTATTATTTTTAATTTGCTAAAGGACCTTTCAGTTACTGCAGAAGTGACAGGAATTGTAAAGAATAATAACATTGCTGTAAATACTTCCGTTAGGTCCTAGCACTCCACATATTTGCTCATTATTTCCTTACATAATTGGTGAACAGTTGCTTGAGTTAGTTGAGGTAAAACTAGGTGGTAAATATTAAAAAATTGAAGCGAAAAACTAGGGCCTATTAGGTATATCTGAATATTTTCTTTGGAATTCGTCACACTTTTGTAATAAAGTTGATTCATCAACATGTAATAAAAATGTTGGTGTTATCGAATGTTCGAAAATCGAATATATGACAGACTGCACTCATACCAATAAAACGTGTATCTAATTGAGATATTACTGTGTCTAGTACATTATTGAAAATCTCAATTTTAAATATTTTTTCTCGGTTTGGAAATCGGTGATAAGCAGCTAATTCATCGAAATGTTTATTAACTTTTCTTTGCCTTTTTTCTTGACAATGGGTATCACAATACCATATTTTCTCGCAGTTTCACTGGCTTTGCACTTGAATAATTCGAAATCATTTCTATAAATTTGCAACTTTGCTTTGGTCTCTGCTAAAACTTTACTCGCCTCGGCCAAATTGATGCCGCATTTTTGTAAAGTTTTGGATGCATAATTGATCTCGTTCAACACACTGTGCATGAATTCGCTCATATCACTATCCGTCAACAGGGTTGCCACAAGAAAATTTTTGATTGTGCAGAACTTGACCATAAAAATGTGTAGCATTGTGTAGCTTGACCATTAAAAATTAGACCGGTTAAAAAGTCTGTTTATAAACTGTAAACAATTCAGGACTGTTTAATCGGCCAAATTTGTCCATAGAATCTGCAGTCCTTGCTGATCGTATGCCAACGAGTGGACCGAACTACAGTGAAATTTGGCCTCTGAATTTGGCCAAAGTACGTGTTTTGTATTATTTAAGGAATTAAGCAATCCTGTCTATTTACCGTTTTTGACTCGACCAATAGATGATCGAAAATGATATTTGTCAGTTCAAAATTTAAAGTTCACTTGCGGCCTCTTTTAATGTAACTTAGATAACTTAAAAGCAAAAAAAACAGCTTTTGTCAGCTGATTTACTGTTCTGGTATTATTTTGTATAATAAATATGTAAATTCTCAAAATGTGTAGCACAGGTCATTGTGGTGTAGCTGTGCAGTCATGGAAGCAAATGTGTAGCAAAATACACAATTGTGTAGCTTGTGGCAACCCTGACACTGTGCATGAATTCGCTCATATCACTATCCGTCAAATTGACAGCACTGCCAACCTACAGAAAGAATTTAGGGGAATTCCCTAGGCATAACTTTTGAATTTCTCTCAACTGCATGAGTTGTCATGATTAAAGTGGGGTTGCAACTTGTCATATTTATTTTGAAAATGGAAGAAATTTCCAAAAGTTCTGTTCGATCGAGATTTCTGGTATGGATTCGAGGGCCCCCTGAGCTCGAGGGCCCCGGGGCACTGCCCCGCCTAGCCCCTAGGTAACTACGCCACTGATTAAATTATAATACAAGTTAGACCTTCTAAAGATGTCAAAATATTTACTTTTTTATTTTTATTTTTAGAATTTTCACAAATTAAACTTCCTAACACACAAATTAAATAATAAATTTTCCGTATACTCGCTATTTAAACCCGTGTAATTGTATATGCTAGTTTTTTACGATATTCTCCGATGGTGGCAGGCACAGGAGGAGAATGCACCAAGCCTATAGGAAAATCAATAAAAGTTGGCGCGCACGCCATCTAAATATTTGACGAATGCACGTCACTATGTTGCCACTGCTACTTTTTTTACTTTGACTTTTTTATAGGCTATTATCACAGAATATAGATATTCTGTGCTTATTATGAAACACTTTATATGAAAAATATTTTATAGGGATACAATACTGTAATATTTAAATATTCTTTTATTAGATTGAAAGAAACTGATAAGAAAGTCTATAAATGTGCCAAATGTGGCTTTCAAACGCTACATAAGACAAGTCTTCACAATCACAAGAAAACTCATTTAGCACCGGAAGAACGAAAGTTATTTGCTTGTATACATTGTGACAAGAAATATACAGCAAAACAAAACTTACGTCATCACATTGAAGAGAATCATATTGATTCCAGGTAAATTTATTTTTTGTAATACATTGTTTGGTTTGGTTTGGTTTGGTCATTATTGAAAATCTCAATTTTAAATATTTTTTCTCGGTTTGGAAATCGGTGATAAGCAGCTAATTCATCGAAATGTTTATTAACTTTTCTTTGCCTTTTTTCTTGACAATAGGTATCACAATACCATATTTTCTCGCAGTTTCACTGGCTTTGCACTTGAATAATTCGAAATCATTTCTATAAATTTGCAACTTTGCTTTGGTCTCTGCTAAAACTTTACTCGCCTCGGCCAAGTTGATGCCGCATTTTTGTAAAGTTTTGGATGCATAATTGATGTCGTTTGATACACTGTGACAACACAAATTGACAACACTGCCAACCTACAGAAAGAATTTAGGGGAATTCCCTAGGCATAACTTTTGAATTTCTCTCAACTGCATGAGTTGTCATGATTAAAGTGGGCTTGCAACTTGTCATATTTATTTTGAAAATGGAAGAAATTTCCAAAAGTTCTGTTCGATCGAGATTTCTGGTATGGATTCGAGGGCCCTCTGAGCTCGACGGCCTCGGGGCACTGCCCCGCCTAGCCCCTAGGTAGCTACGCCACTGATTAAATTATAATACAAGTTAGACCTTCTGAAGATGTCAAAATATTTACTTTTTTATTTTTATTTTTAGAATTTTCACAAATTAAACTTCCTAACACACAAATTAAATAATAAATTTTCCGTATACTCGCTATTTAAACCCGTGTAATTGTATATGCTAGTTTTTTACGATATTCTCCGATGGTGGCAGGCACAGGGGGAGAATGCACCAAGCCTATAGGAAAATCAATAAAAGTTGGCGCGCACGCCATCTAAATATTTGACGAATGCACGTCACTATGTTGCCACTGCTACTTTTTTTACTTTGACTTTTTTATAGGCTATTATCACAGAATATCTAGCTAGATATTCTGTGCTTATTATGAAACACTTTATATGAAAAATATTTTATAGGGTTACAAGACTGTAATATTTAAATATTCTTTTATTAGATTGAAAGAAACTGATAAGAAAGTCTATAAATGTGCCAAATGTGGCTTTCAAACGCTACATAAGACAAGTCTTCACAGTCACAAGAAAACTCATTTAGCACCGGAAGAACGAAAGTTATTTGCTTGTATACATTGTGACAAGAAATATACATCAAAACAAAACTTACGTCATCACATTGAGGAGTAAATTTATTTTTTGTAATACATTGTTTAGACATTGCTCCAATACGATCTCTGATCAAATTAAAATTAAAGTACTAAAAAAAATGATTTTAGGTCAAAGAATCCGCAGGAAAATATCCATAAATGTTCCATTTGCGGCTACCAAACACGACATGTGGCACACTTTAGAAAACACCAGAACATTCATTTGATACTAGAAGAACGACAGAAGTTTGCTTGTGCGCATTGTGGCAAGAAGTTTACACAAAAAATACTATTAAGATATCACATTGAACGTAATATTTGTATTGATTCCAGGTAAATTTATTTTTAGGATAAGAATTACTTCCAAATCATAGGCGTATCTCCATCTTTGGCGATTTTGAGATATCAACGTCATGACATGTCCATTGGGTAACTTTTTTACATAGCGAATTTGTGCATCTCAATATTATATCTTTTTTATTTTATATTCATTTAAAAATTTGCCCCACCTCAAATACTAGAATTCTTCGTTATGACGAAGAGACGTAAGTTGAGATAGGGCTCTTTGTTATGTCTATTGTTATACCCTAGATCATATATACTTACGTGGATAAGTAAATTACTATGGAAACTGGCGCAAACATATCAACGACTTCCATTTATCTTCTTTTTTTGTTGCACACGCGGTGCTTCTACTCTATCTATCCTTGTCGGGGACCTATCGTCCGCGCGCCAAATTTAAACATTAATTTTAAAAATTAAATTTGTAAAATGCTTATATTTGAACAATAAATTGAATGTTTATTGTCACAAAAATTAAATTATCTAAAAAATACATTTAGACACTCCGTACGAATATCAATATTCTTAGGAAATCTAACCAGAAAGTATGCATGTGGCTTAATATAAATAAAAGAACAACTGAATAATTTACTTGCCTATGAAAAGATAATTCGGGGACCTTTATATTAGAACTTTCACACACTAAAAACTTTCTAGTCATTTTTACGAGTATTTAGATCATCTAAAAAGTTGTTTTAACTGGAATAATAAATTATAATACAAGTTAGACCTTCTGAAGGTATGAAAATATTTACTTTTTTATTTTTAGGTATTTTTCACAAATTATACTTCCTAACGTTTTTAGAATAATTAACTAATAATTTTTTCGTATACCCGCTATTTAAACCCGTGTATTTGTATGTGCTAGTTTTTTACGATATTCTCCGATGGTGGCAGCACCGGCGGAGAATGCACCAAGCCTATACCGCATAATCGAAAAAATGGCGTCCAGTAGAGTTAGAGATGACGATCGACGACATTTTTCATATAGTTTTACAGTTAAAATAAGTGATCGTAATTTCTAAACCATCTCTATCACCTACTTACAATGCAAGTCAACTATATTTATCTTTTTCTTAGTGGTTAAACTACCACTACTAATTTAGAATTGTTTTACGCAATTACAAGACAAATATTTAAAAATGATTTTAGGTCCAAGGATGCGCGGAAAAATATCCATACATGTTCCATTTGTGGCTACCAAACACGCAATATAACAAACTTTCAACGACACCAGGAAATTCACTTGGCCCCAGATGAACGACAGTTGTTTGCTTGTGCACACTGTGATAAGAAATATACGACAAAACAAAGATTAAAAGACCACCTTGACGCTAATCATATTGATTGCAGGTAAATTTATTATTGTTAGCCCCGGTATTTTCGGGTACTATTTTATCTTTGTCTTAGTGGTTAAACTACCACTACCATTTTAGAATTGTTTTACGCAATTACGAGACAAATATTTAAAAATTATTTTAGGTCCAAGGATGCGCAGAAAAATCTCCATAAATGTTCCACTTGTAGCTACCAAACACGCGAAAAAACACACTTGCAACGACACCAGGAAATTCACTTGGCCCCAGATGAACGACAGTTGTTCGCTTGTGCACACTGTGATAAGAAATATACAGAAAAACGAATATTAAAATTCCACCTTGACGCTAAGCATATTGATTCCAGGTAAATTTATTATTGTTACCCCCGGTATTTTCGGGTACAAATAGCGCTTTATGATCTGCCAGATATATTTTATTTGACGGATAGCAGAAAAAACGTGTATCTTCACCTATAGATAGCAATATCGATTAGTTCTAAGTCGTTTATAAAAAGACTTAAATTTTAAGTCTTATGTCAGCTTTCGAAAAATGACTTAAAATCAAACGACTTAAGTCATTAAAATGATTTAAATCAAAAAAAGACTTAATGTTTTTTGTGAGCTTGCAGCTCTGCCTTATGAGTAAATTAATATCAACATATGGATGATTCAGTTCTAAACTTTTTAACAAAATCATTTTGTTAATAATAATTATAATAGGGTATGGTACGGTGATATTATATGTTTGAGGAACCCTGTTTTATAGAGTTACAAGACTGTTATTTAAATATTATTTTATTTTATTAATACTTATTTAATAATTACGGGGTCGCTTTTATGTATGGAAACCGTCGATTATTAGGTAAATATACAAGGTACCGCAAAAAATGAAATACAAAAATTATAGCGTTTTTAATTGTCTATTGGTGAGTAATAAATTTATGTCAACAGGGTCGGTCATGAAGTCGTGCCACATCAAAGTTTCATTTCTTTAAATAGCCTGTGTATTATTGCATATTTCAATTCTTCCTTCAATTCTAAGCAAATATCGAAATACACATAATGTATCTCAAACCAACCGTTTCCAAGTTATTGACTTTTGAACATATCGCTTAAACAATTTGATTTAATTCATATCGATATGTTCAGTTTCATTAGTGATGTCATTCTGCCGAAACTGTGATACTGTTGTAATGGGTTTCTAAATGCCTATTAGCTACTAGTAAATTTAAATATACAGGGTCGGTCATAAAGTTTGGCACATCAAGCTTTTTTTTTAATGAAATCCCTATATTGATATATTGCATATATCAATTCTTCCTTCAATTTTAAGCAATAATTATAATACACAACGTACATAAATTGAAGAATTGAGATGTTAAGCTTAAATTTTGTAATTTTCAGACTTGATATTGTTACGGATTCCGTGGGTCCACTAATTTAAACTCACGATAAAATACTTAACGAATTTATTTTCTCACTTTATACACAATTACTAACTTATAACACACAACAAACTAACTATTTATAAGATTCCTTCACCAAATTGTCCGATTTTCAATTTCCACGCGGTATATTCAAATTTCAAAAACTGTCTCAGTTGTCGATGGCTCCGGCTTATATACTCTATTGACTGCTTCTCGAAATTTCCCCATTCTCGGAAAGCGTACTTCTTCATACCAGACAATTCCATTGTCTGATTCCCCTTACTTCTCGACTTGACTAAAAAAGATGGCGCCTGAAAAAGTCTTTTAATTTCTGGCGGATACGCCATTTTTCTTGACACGTTGCGGTTGTGCACGCAACCAGTAATACATTTTTAATTTCTGGCGGATACGCCATTTTTCTTGACACGTTGCGGTTGTGCAGGCAACCAGTAATACATTTTAGCCCTTGACCTTGACAATATAATCTCATTTTATATCTATAAATATAAAGAAAAGATATATCTATAAATGCTAAGTTGAGAACTAATGTCAAATTTTATTAAGTATCACAGTTTCGGCAGAATCCCCTGACATTTTCAAAGGTCACAACTCGGAAACGGTTGGTTTGAGATACATTGTGTGTATTTCCATTTTTGCTTAGAATTGAAGGAAGAATTGAAATATGCAATAATATACAGGGGGATCGATTTAAAAAAATAAAGCTTTGATGTGCCACGACTTTATGACCGACCCTGAATACATGAATTTATTACTCGCTAATAGAAATTTAAAAATGCTATAACTTTTGTATTTAACTTTTTGCGGTACCTCCTATATTTTACCTAATAATCGACCGTTTCGATATATAAAAGCGACCCTGTATATTCTTTTGTTAGATCGAAAGAAGCTGAGATAAAAGTCTATAAATGCGCCATATGTGGCTATCAAACGCTAGATAGGCGCAATTTTTACAGACACGGGAAAATTCACATGGCACCGGAAGAGCGACAGTTGTTTGCATGTGCACACTGTGATAAGAGATATACAATAAAACAAACCTTACAACGTCACCTTGAGAAGAAACATATTGATGCCAGGTAAATTTATATTCGTGTAGCTAGGGTGTTTCAAAATAATAAAAAAATAAACATTTTTCTTATGGTGTTGACCATAAGTAAAATAGGTAGGGGTAGATACGTGAGATTATATGCTTGAAGAACCGTGTTTTATAGAGTTACAGGACTGTAATATTTAAATATCTTTTATTAGATCGAAAGAAGCCGAGAAAAAAGTCTATAAATGTGCCATATGTCGCATTAAAAAATATATGGCTAAAATGGTGGGTTTATAGGGGCGAATTTTGAAATACTTTATATGAAAAATATTTTGTACGATTACAAGACTGTAGGATTTAAATATTCTGTTATTAGATCGAAAGAAGCTGAGGAAATAGTCTTTCATTGTACCACATGTGGCAATCAAACTTTTAGAATTTAATTGATATAGGTAATAAAACACGCTTCAAGATCTGTACTACGACAAACTTTTTATTTTAATAATGTGAAATAGAATGAACAAAGTATAACAAAGAATAAGTGGCAACCTTTGTAACAGATGGCGCCACATATAAACAACTGTAAATAACAAGATACAATATATTAAAACAATAAAACGATCGTTGAACAACTTTCAATAATACTCAACACCCCCACTTATTGAGAATTGTCCAGCCCCAAACCTTTAACAAACTTACAATGCTTAGGAGCAGACAAACCCTTTGTAAGCATATCGGCAATCATTTCAGAAGTGCCATAAATATTTGATTAAAACTCTCTGCGATGACCTGCCTCATTACAAACATTGTTTATCTCTCCTAAAATACATTGTTTATCTCTCCTAATTCTTACACCCAAGCACTGTGCAGCATCCCCTAAGTCTTTAATTTTAAACTGAGACATCAATTGTTGTTTTAACAAAGACACAGCTTCAACACTGTTTGAAAAAATCAAAAAATCATCAACATAAAGGGCAATGATTGTTAAATGATTATTATCTTTTTGAATGTAAACACAGTGCTCATTTTCCGATCTTTTAAAACTAAGCCCTAGCAAAACCTCATCAACCTTCTGGTTCCAGGCTCTGAAGGAAGACTGCTTTAAGCCATATACGGCTTTATTTAACTTATCAGTACTTTGTTTTGAGAGCCTGCAACAACAAAAGCCTCAGTCTGTCTCATGTAAATAGTTTCGCTCAAGACACCATTGAGAAAAGCTGTCTGCACATCTAACCCCCGGTGTTTTCAGGTACGGATAGCGTGTTATAATCTGCCAGATATATTTTATTTGACGGATAGCAGAAAAACGCGTATCTTCATCTATAGATAACAGTATCTATTAGATAAATTAAACTTATCTCTCAGATATCCTATCTGGCGCCCGAACTGCCAATTAGTGCTTTATTTGTCGGATAAAAATTTGACGCATGAGCAAAGGCATGAGGAGATATTGATTTTATTTGATATTTGACAAAATTGCTTAGCATAACCAAGACATTGTTATTATTGAAGATTTCGTTTATTCCAATAAATTCGATTTTAGATTATTTGGAAAAGACTTACCTATTCTGAGTATGTAGGCTATAATCATTTTAGAACGTATAGGGTATAAACACCAATAAACACATTGAAATGGTGCAAAAAACTATTGTTGCTAGTGCCGGACTTTATAAGGACTGTTACAAAATAAAGAGAGTCTCTGTTCTGTTAGAGCATCAGAACGAAGAGAATGCATTAAGTTAGGATAATAGTGATAAAACAGTAATTTATAAATTATTTTATTTAAATCCTTTCAATTATAAACCATTACTACATATTATATAAAATGCTAATGTTTATCTGTGTCGTCTCTACTGAAGTAACAACTTGCTCTAGAAAATTGCTTTTTTTACTAAAAGATAGCTAAATGGCTCTTCTAAAAATTGTCGTCGCCGGATTTTTTGTTTTTCATTTAATTAAAAAAAAATAAAAAGTATTTTTTTCCTGATCTCGTGGCGGATGCGCCAGGCTTCAACTAGTTTTTAATAAAGCTCTAAAGTAGGTAAAAAACAAATAAAACTTTTTAAATCAAACTACTTACTTATTTCATTTTTAATTCGCATATCTTAATTCATTAATATTATAACAGGAACCTTATAAAACCTATTATTCAACTCACATTTGCTTTTATTTCTTTTGTGTTACAATTTTAGTTTAATTTCTTGCACTATGTACCTTATACCGTATGATCGAAAAAAAACGGCGTCCAGTTGGCTGGGAAATGATGATCGATGATATTTCCCATATAAATTTACATATGAAATGACAGCAATCTTTATTTCATAGCCATTGCTGACGCCGTTTTTTCGATCATACGGTACTAACTCTTCTCCATGCTGGTTTTTAAGTAACTCTCTAGCTAAACCTTGCTAAAAACACATCTGTATTGTGGTCCTTTGAATTCCAGTTAGTTCAACTTTGTTTAGACAAGATTTTTCCTTTTTTCTTTTTTTTTTTTGAAGTTCCATCACTTTAAGTTCTTAAAAATAAAAGTAATGTGACAAAATTGTTTATATTTAATGTTTTTTATTAAATAATTTGTACATATAATGTGTAAATGTAACAATTATTATAGGTACTATTTATTTATTATTATGAAGACAAAAGTATAAGTGTATTTATCTATTTTATAAAATAAAAACTCACCTTAATTACTATCATTGATGCTATCCTACCTATTTCTTTACTATGAGATTATATTTTAACTATAAATATCAAAATGAAAAGTACTTAAATGTTTTTCTCCTCTATATGTCAATACATTTAAAACTTCGTTTGATTTAACTATTATTTTTAGATTCGACAAATTTTTATTTTGTTTTTTTGTAAAAATGAGTTTGTTATC